TTATCCAGTTAATTAATATCTAGTCCAATTTGATTTATTTGGGATAATTGCTAAATTATACATTAAAATTTCAAACTGCAAATACAAAAACTATTTGGGTTACTTAAGCTAAATTTAGACTATCAGTCTTCTGTTATTTACATTGAATGTACTAAACACTGCATATCATGTCACTTTTATGAAACTAAATTTTCATGCTTTAGATGATGTTAATATTGACTTGCAGAAAGATTAAATCAAGCTGATTTAATCTATCCATCACCTCACCTCTTTGTCATGTTTTTGTGTTGAGAATGTTTCAAATCTACTCTTTTAGCAATTTTGAAATATATACTACTTTTTAAATAACTGTGGTCACGTTGCTGACGCAATAGATCACTAAAACTTATTCTTCCTGTCTAACTGAAACTTTATATCCTTTGTCAAGTCTTGTCATCTTAAATTACTTTTGTGTGTATTTGAATACAGAGTGACAAGTTTCTTATTTTACTTATTGTCCTTATGTTAAGTTTGGTAAAATGGAATACGAATTTGAGTGCAACCGGTAAACTTAGAAAAACTAAGCAACAAGAGGGAATCTTTTAAATTAATTTGAGCATTTGTATAAAGATTTTATACTTGAGTTCCTTTACTTTTCTAGACTTAATAAAAATGCAAAATTATTTAATGATCTTTAAAATGCTTAAATTGTGATTATATTAATATCTCTACTTTCTATAGATAATATATTCTTTAACAAGTGAATTCTGTTTTGAAGTTATTCTATTTGCTTATACTTTGTACTTATTCCAAAAGACTGGTCAATTTTACATTTTCATCTGCCTCTCTGAATTTAATAAACTCTTTTATATTTAGAGTTTAAAAACTACAGGTGGATAAAAAGTAATAAATACAAGGTCCTTCTATTCAATTGTCTTCAATAAAAGTGATGTAATCTCAAAACCAATTGGTTAACACATTTATCCCCCTGTTAAGCGACACATAAGGCTGAGGGAACATTTTTATATTACACTGATGCTATAATAAATGGGCTGATTTAATACTGCTGGTTGCAACTTACAGCATTTTTGTCTACTTTAAAGTTAGGAACTTCATGGTTATTTTGGCATTCTTCCTGTGAATTAAAATTAAAATAATGTAATTAGTCTGTAAAATTCAAAGTGCTACATTTACCAATAATGGAATAAAACCCAAATTATATTATTTTGAGGTCAATGACAGGTTCGCATGAACTATTTTCTTTTCTATATCTTTCTCTTTTAAAAGAAAATACAGCTTTCTTCCTACTGCAGAAGTATCAGATTCTTGCAGCATCCATGACACTTGTAAGCATTTAGTGGTCAGACACCACTACATATCCTTCAAATGATGTGGCCCAGTGAAGCTGGAAGGTGTCGTCACGGAGCCAGGCAGCCTGGTATCTCAGTCATCCACCAGGACAGAGCCAGCAGGCCTTAGCTGGTGTGCTGAATCTTGACTAAAGTGGGAAATGGATTTTGCATTTTGAAAGTCAACTCTTCTAACATCGAATCTTAGGGCATACCTATTAAATAAAAGTGCATTGAGAGCTTCAGAAATTATTTACTGGATCAAATTTATAAAGCTCCTCTGCCAAAATTACTTTTAGAATAAGTTAAATCTTAATTTGATTATTCCTCTGGGTTTCTGAATTTATACCGCATTATACATATTTTTAAAAGTATGAGTAAATGTATGTGCAGAACTGTAACTGTGTTGTCTGAATTACTATGTATGATATATGCTAAAAGAAGTATACTTGTAGGTCATTGAAAAGTGGTAAATATTAAAATGACAGAATATTAATCACCAATGCCCACTGCCCATCACACTGAGTTTGCCAGTTGGATGTTTAGACAAGCGAAAAATTCCAATAAAATAAAAATACTTTTCATGTTTTTTTCCTCATTGGCCTCTTGTGCTCACTGTTAAAAGCACAAGGGGATTTAGATTCTTGTTTCTTCTATTGTCCTATTATCATCTTTTGACACCACGATTCATTAACTCATCTCCCACAGATGTTAGAAAAATCAACTTACAGGGTTTTGTTACAAGTTCAAAATTCCTCATGCCTACTCTTGGCCTCTCCTTAACACTAGAGCCGCCTAAAAAAGTGTAGAGAATATCTTCCAGTTCTTGAAACTTTAGTTACCTAGGTCTGCTGGAAATACAATGAAATACACACACACACACACACCCCATGTAATTCTATAAGGCTGCACAAGGTGGGTCCCATCCTTTAGACATCATTCTGATTGGGAAAATGCCCTGCTAGATTTTCAAACCATTTGCTTTACTAATGTAACACTTTGGTGGTTAGGCTGGAGTAGCCTAGCATCTGGAATCATGATGTTTTATCATGAGAAACTGAGAGGATACTGTTTCTCTTTTCTAAAAAGAGAAAGAAACCCTTTGCTAGGGCTCATTAAAAATGGTTTTAAAATTGGAGCCAATAAAACACGATTGTCAATTCCTACAACATTTTTATCTCAGCAGCATTTTTAAAAGGCATCATTTCTCTCTCCCCTGAAATCCTACTTGCAACACACACAGCCACGTTTCTAACTAGCAACAACAGGAGCAGCAACAACTCCCCAACTTCTTTGTCACTGGTGAGCAGGCACACAGCCCAGCTGGAGCTAGAAGACTCTCCACTCCCCCATCCCAGTTTTCAACGGCACTCTTCTCAGAAATGGGAGTTACTAGGCAAGATTCACCCCATCACCCTGAAATCTCTTGCTTTACTCTCCTTTAAAAGTGAAAAGGAAAGGCTTTCCACAACATAGAAAAGTTTGCCTGGGCACATGATACCAGCATTTCCAGTAGTGACCCTAATAGACAAAGCATTTTGGAGCTCTGACATCCACAGGGAGCAGATCCCAGTCATGAAGAAACAACTTGAGTGTGTGACAGCAAGACCATGAAAGCCTTCCTTTGCAAGCATCGCCTGGGCTCTTCTGCTCACCCAAGGCAGAACTGAGGAGGAGTGAAGTGGACATTCCTCACCACAGGATCCCTTTTCTAGAACAAGCCCATCTTGAGATTTGTAGGTAGAACTGGCTTGGAGAGACTGCCAAAGCTACACTTCTAACTCTCCTGGCCTTTGGCCCCACCTGCCTGTCAATTTCAGTCTGAGTCCACAATTCCCATGTTTACGGCTCTGGAGATATCTAGAACCTCGGCTTTGGAGCGCTCAGGGATGCTGTTAGGCCAGTTCCCTATTGACCTTTCAGGGACTCTGAAATCAACTTTCCCCACACACTCTGAATTGTTTGCGTTTGTTTTCATCCTGCCGGAGCCACCCGCCCAGCCCACCCATCTCTCCCCTCCTCCCTGCCCCCTCCCCTCCCTCCGGCCTCTCTGGCTCTCCCCCCCACCCCCGCCACCCCCGCCCTCCTCTTTGTTGTCTCCTACCTGCTGGCCAGGCTCTGCCTGCAGTGCTGCCTGAAGGGCATCAGGTGGTAGTTCATGGCGTCCAGCAGCAGCTTCTGGCAGACCGGGTCGGTTCGCATGAAATCCACTGACTGGACCCGCTCCACCAGCTCCGGGGCCGGGATGAGCGCGAAGCGGAGGCGCTTCATGAGGTCAGGCGCGTACTGCATGCGGGTCTCGCGGTCGTGCTCCAGCCACAGCACGGACATCTGGAAGAGCGCCAGCTCCGACTCCACGGGGGGCGGCAGCGAGTCCAGCAGGGCGCGCATCTCCTCGAAGTTGAGCAGCAGCACATCCTCCACCAGGTACTTGTTGGCCAGCTTCTTGGTCTCCTCCAGGCCGTGCAGCGCGGCGATCTTGCACACCTGCTTGTAGTTCTGCACCGAGATCTGGTCGTTGAGGAACTGCACGCAGAGCTTGGTGACCTGGGGGATGTGCAGGATCTTGCTGACCGACAGCACCTCCTCTACCGTGTCCAGGGACAGGGTCACATTGGCCGTGTAGAGGTACTCGAGCACCAAGCGCAGCCCGATGGACGAGCAGCCCTGCAGCACCAGGTTGTTGATGGCCCGGGGACTGGTCAGCAGCTTGTCGTCGGGGGAGGAAGAAGGAGTCCCGGGCTCCTCCTGCGGCGGCGGCTGCTGCTGCTGTGACGGCTGCTGCTGCTGCGGCGGCTGCTGCTGGTCCTTGGGGGCCCCCAGGCCGTCCTGGCCGCCGACCCCTCCCCCAAGAGGGGGGTGGCTGGAGAAGAGCGATCGGAAGTACTGCGAGCAGGAGGCCAGCACGGCCTTGTGGCAGTGGAACTGCTGGCCCTGGGCCGTCAGGGTCACGTCGCAAAACAGCTGTTTCCTCCACAGCAGGTTGAGGCCGTGCAGCAGGTTGTCGCTGTGGCTGGGGTCGAAGGTGGAGGTCCTGTCCCCGGATCTGGACATGGCGAGCTGACTCGGTGCACCTGGCTTTAAACCCTCCTCCAACCTGGCAGACAGGGGTGGGGGATGGGAGGGAGGGGAGCAGGGTGGTGGATGGGGTGGGGTGTGGTCGGGGTGGGGAAGGGTGTGGAGGGGAGGGGAGGGCGAAGAACAAGAAACAAGGCTCAGCTTGGCTCCCTCCTGGCGCGCTCCGGACCCCGACCCTAGGAGGAAAGTCCGAAGACGCTGGATCCGTGAGCGCCACCAGAAGGGCCCTGTCTGGGGTCCCGGCGCCGGTTCTGCTCCCTGCGACTCCTCTCGCCACCTGCCACACACTTCGTACCTCACTTTCCTAAAACCACCTCAGCTGTTGGCAGCAACAGCAGTGGCAGCAGCGACGGCAAAGTGGCGGCTGAGGCCGAGGCACCTCGTGGGCTCGTGTCCATGCCGGGCCGGATGAAGGGAAAGGCCAGGGAGTGGGGAGCCAGGGGTGCCCTGAAAGCGCAGAGGCGACGGACGGCGAAGGTTTCAGGTCAACTTATGCCCGAAGCTTTGCTTTCCGCAGTTGGCCCAGTTTGGGGGAGGGGGTAGGAACAGGGGCCCAACAAGCGTGCGGGGTGGGCGAATCTTAGCTCTCCAAAAGCTGGGACCCCCTTCGATTATCCATGCTGCCCCGAGAAACTCCTAGGCTAGTAGTCTGAGGGAGGAGATAAAGCCCTTTCTTCTCCCGGAAAAGTGCAGCGGAGCGCGGTGAGGACCCGCTCAGTGGACTCGGCAGAGGCGGGAGCTCTCCTTATCAATTCGAGCTCATTTCCCTCACCCTGGCCCTGCCCGCTTCCCTGCTTCGCAAACTGTTGGCTTCCCCGTCACCACTCAGTTTGGCTAATTTTCCAGAGACGCCTTTAAACCTGGCAGGAGAATCCTTCCACCACCCCCACCCCCACCCGGTGGCCCCCTTTCCCCCGTCTCGCTCATTTCAAAGCGCGGAAGTTCGGGCATCTATCTCCCCTTCCAGTGCGGGGCGGCACCGAGGACCCAAGGGGAGGAAGTGGGGCTTTGAGGACGCGTTTGGAGCGGGAGCCGGGAGGCCGGGAGGCCGGGAGGGATTTTCCCTCCCGGGCACCAGGCGCAGTCGCTTTAACTCCAGTAACTATGAGAAGTTCAAGTTAGAAGGCAGGTGTTGGGGGAAGGGGTGGGGGCTGTGGAACGAGTGGGGGGGCGGGGGCGCAGTGGGGTGCGGGGTCTCTGCGCCCCACCCAGCATCGTGGCCAGCAGCCGCAGCTGCCTTCTGACCCCCTCGGTAGAGCCCCCAGCGGCCCCCCACTCGGGCACCCCCACTCCCCCGGCCCTGGAACTACTTCTGTAAAAAGTCTGAGCCGCCGGCATCTAGGCGGAGGAGGGCAGGGTGGGGGAGGCGAGGCGAAATCGATACGCTCGGTCCCTAACCTGTAATTGCACCTTCCAGGGCTGAGCAGAAAGGGACCCTCTGCTCGCATCCCGCCCGCGCACCCGCCCGTCCGCCCGCCCGGGAGAGCCGCCGCCACCGCCGCCGCCTCCCGGCTCAGAGGGATCCCGCCGGACCTGCCCCTTCCACTGCGGCTCACTCTGCCCTGCCTGGCGCCGGTCCTGGATCGCCGGCTTCCTATCTATACCGGACTGGGCTCCTTTCGACTCACTTTACCATCCCGTTCCAGGTGGACCCTACCCTCCCTCGCGCTCCCTCCCTCGGCAGCACCCCCACGCCCGCCCCCAGAGCTCTGGCTTGCCTGAAACATCTTAGAGTCTCTCTCCCTTTAAGAGGACCCGGTCATACCTCTCTCTAGCTCTCTCCGCTTCGTTGTCTCCCCCCCCCCCCCCCACCCATCTTTTCCTATTCCCCTTCCTTCTTGTTCTCCTCCCTTGCCTTTCCTCCTCATCTGCTTATTTCTTGCAATAGGAGTTTTATTCTTTATGAGCGTTTGCCATACAACTACCCCCCTCCCCAACACCTCTGAAAGACTCCCTCCCCGGCCCTTCCCCCTACAACAACCCAAAAGACAGAACAAAATACACACAAGGCAGACACAAGGCCAGAAACTTACCTGCTCTCAACCAGCTGCAAAGTCAAGGCTCACTTAAGCTCCCCCCAAAAATCAATTGTCCTTCCTTTTTAAAGGTTTGCTCTCTCCTTGGGAGGGGGAAAACACCTTCTGGTTCCCAACTCCAGGCAGTCACTCTTTACAATTTATTTTGTCGTACATCATTTGATCACCATGAATTAGCAACAGCAAGAAAATGTAGGAGAGGGAGAAAAGAGAGAAAGAGAGAGGGAGAGAGAGAGGGAGAGAGAGAGAGGGAGCAGAGCTTTCTGCAAGAGAAGAAGAAGAAAAAATGTACGTGTGACAAATTATGCTACCAAGAAACAACACATCATTATCCTTGGGCCTGGGGCTCAGTGAGTCGTAACGAGAGTAATAGGAAATCCACGGTTGGGGAGAGAAACGGTCGTGCTTGGCCAGTAGAGAGAGACCATACAGGGGGATGGATGCTGGAGAGACTCGCAAAATTATGGCTCAAGGCTATTGTAAAAATTGTCGAGCGTAAATGACTGCGATTTCAAACATCTTTGGAAGAAAGAAGGGGAAAAAGCGAGCCCCCCCTCCCTCCCTCTCCCTCTCTCTCCCTCTCTCTTCTCTCTCTCTATAAAGAACCGTCAAGTTTTAGTGCGCATTGCTAATTAGTCAATTTCTCTCTGCCTTCACAGGCTGGCGACTTCGCTGCTGAGCTGAAACTGCTAATTTCTGTGACCAGCTTTTTTCTTAGCTGTGATCTGGATGAATGAGTAGCTGTCTCACAGAGATGACAAAAATAAACTCTAATCCCCCCCAAAATTTCCACTACATCTTTCTCATGCATAGATTTATGATCTTCAAGCGCTCTGTGCAATATGCAAACTTTTTTTTGTGTCTGTATATATGCTGTTGTTTCCAGATTTCACTACATTGGTATGCTGTTTTTCCCTTCCCCCCACACCTCCCCCTCACCCCCAGCACTATGAAATGCAGAAACAGTCTGATCTCAAAGTATGCTAAGATATCACTTTATTCTGTTTTGGTATTTGGGATTTGGGTCTGACCTGGAAGATACTAGCCCTTGCCTAAAAGGTGAGTGGCTGAGGATACACACCAGGGTGGTGGGAGTAGAGCTGGTAGACAGAATAGAGGACAGCCCTTTGCTTTACATTTGCTTCCCATAAAGCACTATTCAAGGTTTATGATCTTATTTGAAAACATATTTTCTCTATCATTTTGTCTGGTGAAACAACTGCCTCTGAACTTCTCTGTCAGCTCTTCAACAGATAAGGGTGCAGAAGTCACATTTTTCTTTTTTACTGAAAGATTATCATATTGTTGGATTTGTATTTCAATTAGGAGTGTTTGTTTTGCAGGAGGTAGAATCAAGTGCTAGGAAACCCAGCTGCAATTTCACAAATGTAACCTTTCAACTTTGGAACTCATCTGATATATAAGGGCAACCACCTAGTGCTCACATTTTTGACCCTGCTTACCTAAATGCAAAAGGAACCCCAGCATGTTTCTGGAATTTTAGCTGTACTAGAGATTCATGTGCATTTTGGTAGAGGACATGTTCTCCAGACTTATCTCATGATGTATTGCACCCTTACATTTACAGCCCTGCATTTCGGTCATCAATGGGGGTTGGAGGTGTCCAAGAAAGAAAGAAAAAAAGAAGCAGAAAAAGGAAGGCATGCCCTTAAGTAAAATGAACACGAAGAAAACTGGATATGAGCTAAATTGAGCTTTGTTTGCTATTAAATATATGAATATGATTCATTCTAATTTATATGTGCTCTGATGAGTAAACTTATTAAATTACATATCAGGGCACCACTGCAAGACATCTATTCACACCCCCCATCATCCTCTTTGATTTGTGAGAGATGGAAAGACACCTGCTTAGGAAAGGGAGGAAAACTAACAATTCTTAGGTTCAGAAATAGAGATTCCCCATTTACAGTGATAATGTTAACATGCACATGGGATATTCACTCTTAAATAAATGAAGAAGGATCAAACTGAAACATTTAACCCTCACAAAAGCCCCCCCCCTTTTTTTTGTCAAGGTTCTAGATTATCTGAGAGTAAGACTTCTTTATTCAGATCCTGTTGAGATGCTGCATTCTCATATTTATGTTTATAATGGAAATGCCCCAGTACATGATTAAATCATATAAAAGAATTTTGCTGCTGTTGTTTAGGGCAGAGGAAAGAGAACAGATTATCCAATTCTCCAGGTCCTATTATTTGTTTTGATTTTTTTTTTAATTTCCCTTGTTTGGGTGTTGAACAGGAAGATCATGGGACTCTAAGATAGAACATTTTTGGAGTTCTGTGTCACTAGCAATTAAAGCTATTAAGTATGTGGAGTGTCATAAAACTCTCATACATGTAAAGTGCAATTTTTATTTATGCTTCTGATGTTGATCTTTTATGGACTTCTCATGAAGTATTTGGAACTAAGCCCAAAGGCAATAATAGTATTTGATCACTTAAATTATGGCCACCTTCCTGTTTTATCATGAAAGAAAGTATGTTCGTAGGCCTCAAAATAGCTTAGTTTCAAATTTCTATTTTTCTATGGATAGGATATATTGGTCACAAATTATGATTACCAGGCTCTTTATTGCTTCCAAATGATATAAAAGCCAGATTTCAAACATTTTAGCTACCTATAATGTTAATGCTTATTTAACAACTAGGGTTGAAGGGGAAGAGAGTGGGATTGGAAGCTGGCAATTCTAAAAATGTCTGTTGAAGTGGATAAAAACACTTTCTTCTGCATTCTAAAGTTATCTGATAATGTTTAAATTTCAGAAAAAAATACAATTCTGGTTATTTTATAAGCAATTAAAAAAGAATATTGATAAAACGTCCCTTCGTAATCTGTGCATAAACTAGCATATATGTCCTATAAATCTCACACCTCCAGTATCTTATACTGGCTTTGACTGAAATTATTGCAGAACTCACAAATGAGATGACACTATTTACAATAAATCTCGTTATGAAAGATTCAATTTGCAGCAATCAGATGCTAGCTACTAAGCGATTGTAAGTATTTGAATTTTATCCTACTTCAGTGTTCAACATACAGAAATTGCATCTGTGTGTTTGATCTGTCCTGCTGAGCACTATCAGCAGCTTGCATCTCTGCCACTATTGTTTTTAAAATGGCAGGAAGGACGTGACTAGTCAGGAGCACTCAGCAGGATGGATTTCACATGGCATAAGAAGAGCCAGAATTGTCTTTTTTAAAAAAAATTAAATATGATTGTGTAGTCGCCTAATGCAAGTCATCTTCATACTTCCATAGAATTATCAAAATTACTCATTAGTGAATTTGCATTTAAACTGTGTACAATGGAAAGATTCTGAAACCATGGCCACTGAGCAGTCTACTAGAGCTGCCATTAGCTTCTAGTGGTCGGGTCAGCCTTCAAGGTGGCAGAGATCCAGGCCTATCAGTGGCTCCAGTTGCTCAGGATCGTCTCACTGGACTGGAGGCACTGAAGATTATCTTTAGAGCAGTTCTAGAAATGTTTTGCTGCTTGACATATAGGTGCAGCCACACTGAAACTTTATTTTCTTTATTCTTGACTTTTCTGCTTAGGATTTATGAGTTATCATCAAATTGCATAAACATCAGAGCCTGGTCTCCCCTGTGTCTTTTGGATAGTAAACACTACTTCAATGTGATCTGACCTTTAAGATTACCATTATTGTGGAATGGATGGATAAAGCAAGAAATTACTCCATTTTACACTTGGAATAAAATTGAGTAAAGAAGGACCACATAGCTCCTTCAAAGTTAGGGAGCAGCAAAATCCAGACACAACTCACAGATTTCTAGTTTTTTTTTTTTTTTTTTTTTTTTTAATCTTGAGTAGATGGGTCAAAGATATCACAGAACCATCAGCACTGAGAAGCTTATTAAAGAACACAGTATCTGAAATAACAATAAGAAATGGTGCTATTGGCTAACAGTTAGGCAAAAGCCAATGGTTTGATATTGCTCTGCTGTCAAGCCCAGCTCTGTGGCTGGCATTCTAGGTTCCCAGTGTTTAGCTCTAGCTCCTCTGGGCAGCCTGTTCTGGACACGCTCCACTGTTAAACCACAGCACCTATTGTTAGGCTGTGTCCTTTTGAGAGACCTTCGTTCTCTACAAATAGAAATCCCACTTACCTCTCAAGAGTAAACTCAGATTTCTTTCCACTATAAAACTTTTCTTGGCAACCTTCAACAGAATAACAATGGCTACTACTTATTGGGTTTATTACTGCGTCGTGGACACTGTTCTAAATCCTTTAAATATTTTATGTTCTTAATCCTCTTGCTAATCCTATGAAAGAGTATGGCAGATTGCAAAAACAGCTCAATGTCTCCACCCTTCCTGGTATACATACAACATTATAATGTGGCTTTGTTGCTCCTCTCAAGAGTGGATTCGACTTACCCAATCCTTGAATGTGAGCTGGCCTTGTAACTTGCTTTGACCAATAGAATGTGCCCCAGAAGCGACCTTGTGCCAATTCTGAGTCTAAGCCTCAAGAGGCCTTGTGTGTTTCAACTCTCCCTCTTAGAGCCCTGCCAGATGTCATGTGATGAAGCCCAGGCTAGCCTGGTAGAAGATGACACATCACATGGACAAAACATTCCCCAGATTGCCCAATAGCTGAACTCAGATGCGTGAATGAGCCCAGCTGAGACAGGAGAACCAACATACTCCAAATGACTGATCCACAGAACCCTGAGTTAAATCAATGGCTGCTGTTTCAAGTCATTAGCTTTTGGGGTAGTTTGTTCCGTAGCCAAATTAGCTGCTGAAGAAAGGTACTATTATTTTCATTTTACTAATAAGCAAAATGAAATGCAGAGAAATTAGGTAAATTTTTCAGAATCACACAACTTTTCAAAAGCAGTGCTTAGGTTCAAACCAACACAGCCTGACTCTAGGGATTTACCATTCTACTGCACTGGCCACAAAAGAAATGCCTGCCTCTAGGAAACATTTATTTATTTATTCATGCATTCATTCATTCATCAAGTACATATTAAGTATCTATTGAATACCAGACACTGTGCTAAACATCAAGGAAACAATGATGAATAAAACTGCATTCTTGTCCTCAAGAGGCTTACATTCTAGTAGAAGAGACAAGCAGGTAAATTAGCTTCAGCAAGTGAACAATTATACTTGATAATTGCTCTGATAAGAGTATGTATAAGGAATTATTGAAGCAGAAAGAAACACATCTCTAACTTCCTCAGAGTACTTATTGTCTGTAACACTCTTTCAACATTTATTATTTACTGCTTTGTTAATTGCTTATTCAGGGAAATCTGTTACCATCTTAACTAGATTGTAAGCATCAAGGGGACAAAAAGCCCTCTCTCTGGTAAAAATCTCCCATAGTACATAGCTTTGTGCCTTGCCCATAGCCGTTATTCAGTAAATATATTGATAGACTATTGAAGGTGAATTTTCAAATGTATCAGAGAAAGAGCAGAGAGAACAAGGGAAGAATTTAACAAGCAGAGACTCTCAGGTATTTGACTAAACTGGTATTAGTCAATCTCCAGATTGTAATGATCTACTGTCTTAAAATTAATAAAATATTTATTCTATTGTGAAATTATTACTCAGAGCACATAGCTAAGTGTTTGATGGGACCTTAGTAAGTGCTTTATCCAATTTTTTACCTATAGCCACAATCACCCAGCAAAGCTCTCCAAAACTTTGAAGAGAGTAGTTGCTTTAATAGTAACTAAACTACTCAACAAAGGTAGCACAGAGCTGCAATTCTGTACA